TAGCTGGGTTTATAGGCCCACACCACCACACCTGGCTAATTTTTGCATTTTTAGTAGAGACCGGTTTTACCATCTTGGCCAGGCTGGTCTCGAAGTCCTGGACTCAAGTGATCCACCTGCCTCAGCCTCCCAAAGAGCTGGGATTAACAGGTGTGAGCCACTGTGCCTGGCCTGGAGAGAACCTATTTAATGCTCAACAAGTCAGATCGGGAAATGGCAGATGGGTGCTATGACTCTTGTATCAGGGCTCAGAAAAGGAGGCAGTGTGATGCTCGTTGCAACGCTGTGTTGGTCAGGAATCTTGGGGTGCAATGCCCATGAACCCCAATTAAACCAGCTTAAGCCAAAAAGAAAAGGCATTGACTCATACAGCTGAAAGTCCAGCTTTCAGTCCACACTGTAAGTCAAGACTTCAGGCATAGCTAGATCAAGCAGAGCCCTTTTTAATTTGTCTCTCTCCATACTCTCAGCCCTGCTTTCTTCCATGCTGGAAGTTCCTGCAAATATCTTAACACTGAGGTTAATTAAGCTGATTTAGATCACATGTTGACCCTTCAACTGTGGACTATCCTGATCAGCCAGGCCTGGGTCCTGTGTCCACTGCCCCTGGTTTCTAAATTCAGGCAGCTGAATTCAAGAGTCCTTTGAGTGTCCTCACTCATCCTGTAATTCCTGGATCACGTTTTTGTCACAGGATTTCAACAGATCACATGGTCAAGGCCTTAGGGAGGTGGTTGGGGATTCACATATGCCCTGGACCATCTGGAGCCCAAGGGCTGCAGACCCTGTCACCAGGAGTGCACACCCTCTGGCCACCATAGCAAAGAAGTCTGCAGGCAGGAGGTCGGCAGTAGGGCAGGACTGCTTATTCTGTATGGAAGAGGCAATATCTGACCCCAACATGACAGATGCCAGGAGCACGAGAAAAGCCCCCCTTGCTCCGAAGAGAACCCTTGCTCCCCCATCTTCCGGTTAGTGCCTGAAATTCTACCATGACCGTCTTACTTTAACCTTAGGCCCACGTTAAGGTATAGATATCCATGAGAGTTACTATCAAGCATTCTTGTTGTGAAGAGTTAGAAAACAGGTTTTGTTAACAAGAGGGAATAAAAATCAGTGTAGGGTAGGAGATGAGAAATTACAAAGACTATGAAAGACCTTGGGGGTAGGAGGTGAGAAATTGCAAAGACTGAAAGACCCTGTCACTTCCCAGCATGCTTGGGACTGGAGCTGGACAGGGCAAGGGGTTGGGATATAGGTAAGTGACAAGGTGTTTTCTATATCAAGCAAGAACTCGGAGAAAGCACGATTGGAAGTGTCACTGAAATGCCAGGGGTTCTGTCTAGGTCTTGCTGTCGGCCGCTCAGAAAGCCAATCACTGAGACAACGAGTATTGCCAGGGAAGAAGGCTTAGGCTTTAATCTGGTGGTGCAGCTGAGGTGAACTGGAGATAAAGTCTCAAATCTCTCTCCCCAGTCGATTAAAATTGAGGGATTTACATAGTGGGGAAGGCGGAAAAACAGGAATTAGGGAGAGGTAAAGAAGCAGTCAGGATGGGGAGTCTGGTGTCTCATTGTCTGGAGGTAGTGATCTGATGGGTTTTAGTTCCTTGCCTGAGGGTCAGTTTCCTGAGGAAGAAACTCTGATGAGATGAATCTGTTTCAAGTTTTAAGACCAGGGAGAGTCCATTTCTATGTTTGTTCAACAAACTATAAATATTAGCTTATTAGCTTTATGGGACAATTGGGCTGATTTCAAAAGGAAGCCCAATGGATGGTGATTGCATAATGGAAGGGAATCCAAGAACCAAGTCTTTTTTTTTTTTTTTTTTGAGATGGGGTCTCACTCTGTTGCCAGGATGGAGTGCAGTGGTGTGATCTGAGCTCACCGCAACCTCCACCTCCTGGGTTCAAGCAATTCTCCTGCCTCAGCCTCCAAAGTAGCTGAGACTACAGAGGTGTGCCAACACACAGAGCTAATTTTTTGTATTTTTAGTAGAGATGGGGTTTCACCATGTTAGCCAGGATGACCTCAATCTCCTGACCTCATGATCCTCCTGCCTCAGCCTCCCAAAGTGCTAGGATTACAGGCTTGAGCCACTGCACCTGGCCTTTTTTTTTTTTTCAAGATGAAGTCTCTGTCACCTAGGCTGGAGTGCAGTGACATGATCTCAGCTCACTGCTACTTCTGCCTTCCCGGTTCAAGCAATTCTCCTGCCTCAGCCTCCCAGGTAGCTGGGATTACAGGCGCACACCACCATGCTGGCTAATTTTTGTATTTTTAGTTGAGACAGGGTTTCCCATACCAGGCTGGTCTCAAACTCCTATCCTCAAATGATCCTCCCACCTTGATCTCCCAAAGTGCTGGGATTACAGGCGTGAGCCACCACACCCGGCCAAGAACCAAGTCTTAAAGGATTGAGAGGTGGGACAGGTAAAGGGCTGAGGTAGGGGTAGGACATTCACAGTGGGGAAACAAATTGAACGAATGAGTGGAGATTGAAATAAAATCTGTATGTGCTGGTATTTTTATTTTTGCAATGCCTGCTGTATACCTGGCCACTTTACAGACAAATTCCCTTTTCTTTGTTCCATAAATAATTTTAAAAATTGTGATAAAATATACATAACATAAAATTTACCATTTTAACCATTTTTAAGTGTGCAGTTTGGTGGTATTAAGTATATTCACATTATTGTGCTACCATCACGTGTCCACCTCTAGAACTTTTTCATAATTCTAAATTGAAACTCTACAGCCATTAAACACTGATTTCCCATTTCTTCCTCTCTGCAGCACCTGCTAGCCATGATTCTTCTTTCTGTGTCTATAAATTTGACTATTTCAGGTACTTCATATAAGTGGAATCATACAACATGTGACCTATCGTGTCTGGCTTACTTTACTTAGCATAATGCCTACAAAATTCATCCATGTTGTAGCATGTATCAGAATGTCATTCTTTTTTTTTTTTTTTTGAGATGAAATCTCACTCTTGTTCCCCAGGCTGGAGTGCGATGGCACAATCTTGGCTTACTGCAACCTCCGCCTCCCAGGTTCAAGCAATTCTCCTTTCTTGGCTCCCTGAGTAACTGGGATTACAGGCACCTGCCACCAGGCCTGGCTAATTTTTGTATTTTTAGTAGAGATGAGGTTTCACCATGTTGGCCAGGCTGGTCTAGAACTCCCCTCCTCAGGTGATCCACCCGCCTCGGCCTCCCAAAGTGCCGGGATTACAGGCGTGAGCCACCGTGCCCAGCCCAGAATTTCATTCCTTTTAAAGCTGAATAGTATTCCATTGTGTGTATACACCACATTGTTTTGTTTTGTTTTGTTTTGTTTTTTAGATGGAGTCCCATTGTGTCACCCAGGCTGGAGTGCAATGGCATGATCTCCACTGACTGCAACCTCTGCCTCCCAGGTTCAAGCAATTCTTCTGCCTCAGCCTCCCGAGTAGCTGGGATTACAGGCACCTGCTACCATGCCCAGCTAATTTTTGTATTTTTAGTAGAAACAGGGTTTCACCACGTTAACCAGGCTGGTCTTGAACTCCTGACCCCAGGTGATCCACCCGCCTCAGCCTCCCAAAGAGCTGGGATTACAGGCATGAGCCACCATGCCCGGCCACCACGTTTTATCTATCCATCCTTCGATGGACATTTTGGGTTTTTCCACCTTTTGGCTATTTTGAATAATTCTGCTATGAGCAAGGGTTTACAAATATCTGTTTGAGTCCCTGCTTGCAATTCTTAGTGTATGCACCCAGAAATGGAATTACTGCATCATATAGTAATTCTTTACTTAATTTTTTGAGGAACTGCCATACTGTTTTCTACAGTGACTGTACCATTTTACATTCCCACCAGCAATGCACAAGGGTTCCAATTTCTCCATATCCTCACCAACACTTTTTTTTTCTTTCTAAAGTAATAACCCCCCTATTGGGTATGAGGTAGTAACACATTGTGGTTTTGATTTGCACTTCCCTAATGATTAGTGATGTTGATCTTTTTTTGTGTGTGCTTATTGATCATTTGTGTATCTTCTTTGGAGAAATGTCTTGAAATTCTTTGCCTGTTTCAAAATTGGGTTTGTTGTTGTTGAGTTGTAGGAGTTCTTTATATATTCTGGATATCAGTCCATTAATAGACTATGTGATTTACAAATATGTTCTCACCATTAAATATTATGTTGTTGGATTTTCACATATGGCTTTTATTATGTTGAGGTAGTTCTAGTTCTCATTTGTTGAGTGGTTTTATCATGAAAGTGTGTTAAATTTTGTCAAGTGCTTTTTCTGCATCAGTTGAGATGATAATGTGTTTATTTTTCAGTTTCATTCTGTTAATGTGATATATTACATTGGTTGATTTTTGTGTACTAAACCATCTTTGCATTCCAGGAATAAGTCCCACTTGGTCACGGTGTGTAATCCTTTGAATATGTTGCTGAATTTGGTATCCTAGTACTTTGTTGAAGACTTGTGCATCAATATTCATAAAGGATATTGGTCTGTAGCTTTCTTTTTTTGTAGTGGCTTTGGTATCAGGGTAATGCTAGCTTCATAGAATGACTAGTAAGTGTTCCCTCTTCCATTTTTTGAAAGGTTTGAGAAAGATTGGTGTTAGTTCTTCGTTAAATGTTTGGTAGAATTCCACAGTGAAGCCTTGAGCTCAGGGCTATAGAGAGGGATTTCATAAGAAGGAAGCAGACCAATTGTTCATGGTCTGTGAAAGAAGCAATAAAAGAAACAGGCTCAGGTTAGGAAAGGAAAGGTGGTGTTTGGAGAGTAGGGAGAAAATCCTTGCCCAAAGAATGGTCAAGGCAGTTTCATATGGCCTCTAACCTGGACCTCTCAGAGGAGGGGATGAACAGGCCACAGCCTCGTGGTTCTCCAGCCTCCAGGTGATGGGCTGGGGTTGGACTGGCTCTCTGGTGTCTCTAACTCAAGGGCTCCATGATTCTGTGATGTCACTGAAGAGAGAAGAATGGGGAGCTGGGCTCAGCTCCAGCTGTTCCGATTCCTCTCTCCTCTGGATCCTGATAGTTTTTGGGGTGAGGGAGGTGAGCTGCGTGATCACACGTGTCCCAGCTCAGTCTCCCCTCTGGCCACCTCAGCCCCCACCACAGTTATGGAGAGAAACTAGCCAGTGTGAGTCAACTGCGCAACAAGCAGAGCATCTTTCATGAAGCTGAACTGACCAAAAGAACAACAATGAAAACAGCTTTTTGTTCCTCTGTTTCTAGAAAACTTAAAGAACAAGAGAACTACATTCAAATTGAGTTGGAAAAGAATATTTGGACAATCTGTGATTGTGAGAGTGGATGAGTCTTCTAGCTAAACCTATGAGCTTTGAAATCACAGCAATCACTTTCTTCATCATCCTTCTAATTTGCTTCATTTGCATCCTCCTTTTATTGGTGGTTTTTTTATATAAATGGTATAAATCCATGCTGATAATTGGGATCAGATTTCAAGTCACATTAGCAAATGTATCTAGAAATAATGTAAACAATTTAAAATAGAACAAGTAATGATACCATCATTATCTACTTTTTTCATTTCAGCATTTTAGAAATGCTGATATGCTGTTTAAAAGTGAAGTTTCTATGCCACACCTTAAAATCAGGGCCATTCTTCCTTTTCTGAATTTGTGGCTTGTTTGTTTTCAGTTTCCAAGGCAGGAAAGGTAAAGAGACAAAGAAAGTGCCTTGTACAGATGCAAACGGAGGTGTAGACTGTGCAGCTGCTGAAGTGGTGACAAGCAATCCAGGGGACCATGAAAGGCGAGTGTGGCGCAGGATATGTCAGAGGCCATTTTGTGCGTGATAGTGGGGATGAGGATGCATGAATGTTTAAAACTCTACCAATTAATTTTCTAGGGTATTAATGCAAGTCATGAATTTGGATGTGCCGATGAGGCCTGGCATTCTTGTCCAGAGACAGAGTAAGGAAGTGTTGGCCACACCCTTAGAAAACAGAAGGGACATGGAGGCAGAAGAGGAGAACCAAATAAATGAGAAGCAAGAGCCTAAGAATGCTGGAGAAACTGGTCAAGAAGAGGTGATATGTTTTTCTACTCTCAAGGAGCAGTTTAGAATTTGTTTGATTGAAAAGAAGGTACATTCCTCAGCTAGGTATAATAATAGGAGATGGAGGGCCAGGTGTGGTGGCTCACGCCTGTAATCCCAGCACTTTGGGAGGCCAAGGAGGACAGATCATGAGGTCAGGAGATCGAGACCAGCCTGGTCAACACGGTGAAACCCCTATCTCTACTAAAAATACAAAAATTAGCCGGGCGTGGTGGCACACACCCATAATCCCAGCTACTTGGGAGACTGAGGCAGGAGAATCACTTGAACCCGGGAGTCGGAGGTTGCAGTGAGCCAAGATCGCCACTGCACTCCAGCCTGGCGACAGAGCGAGACTCCGTCTCAAAAAATAAAAGTAAAATAATAATAATAATAATAATAATAATAATAATAGGAGATGGAGTTGCCTGTAACTTAGGTTTGTAGGTAGAATGAGTCCAATGCCCACAGTCATTTAAGCCATTCTAGTTGCTTATCAGTTCATGTTACTAAACCATTACATATGCCAAGTCTAGAAACTTGCTTAGTCTTCATTCTTATATTTGTGTTTTTCTTAATAATTCCCCTTCAGTTTGTTTTTCTCAAAATCCTAGAATCTTAGAGCTGTTAAGAGATTATCTAGTGATCCAACCCTCTCCTGTTTCCAATAAGAAAATGAGATGAATTGTTTACCTCTCCACTGTGGCCAAGCTTAGGCCCACACTGTGGCCCCCTGTCCTAGCTCTAGGGTCCTACAACAGCACACAGCATGGCTGGGGCCTTCTTGAGCTCCATGTCTGGGACTCCCTAATAAGAACAACTCACATGCCCTCCCACCGCATGGCCATGCCCAGTCCACGACAGAATGATGGTCCTGATGGCTCTTGGGTTTGACCGCTTCGTGGAGAGAATTACATGTCACCAAATGTTATTTGAATATGTCAGTGTATGCTTTTATAACCATAAAAATGTGAAAATGTGATAGATTATTGCTGCTTTCCTGTATCATTTAGAAATGCTTTTTCTGTTTATCGTTAACAGTGTACATATAACCTGTAATTTTAAAAGCAGGGCATGTCATAAATTGATTATTTGTTTATATTGTTTGTCCCATTCTCTTGCAGGATGATGGTTTGCAGAAAATACACATATCTGTCACTAGAACTCCATCAGCTGTTGAAAGCCAAAAAAGACCTTTAAAAGGAGTGACATTTTCTAGGGAGGTAATTGTTGTGGATCTTGGAAATGAATACCCTACACCTCGAAGCTATACTCGAGAACATAAAGAGAGAAAATGAAGCTCAAAAAAGGGTAAGAGTGAAAGAAAATGTAACCTTTGACTAACATTGAAATGACTGAGGGTACAAAATCATGTTGAAACAACAAAACAATGGGGAATTAAGCAAATAAAGATAGTATTTTACCTTTGTGCAGAAAGAAGTGGGCCATATGCAAAATTCTGTAAGTAAAATACTTAGAGCTTGAATATAGTTTTTTAAAAATTCAAATCTGAGTTCAAGAAATTGATTTTAGGCCGGGCGCGGTGGCTCAAGCCTGTAATCCCAGCACTTTGGGAGGCCGAGACGGGTGGATCACGAGGTCAGAAGATCGAGACCATCCTGGCGAACACGGTGAAACCCCGTCTCTACTAAAAAATACAAAAAAACTAGCCGGGCGAGATGGCGGGCGCCTGTAGTCCCAGTTACTTGGGAGGCTGAGGCAGGAGAATGGCGTAAACCCGGGAGGCGGAGCTTGCAGTGAGCTGAGATCCGGCCACTGCACTCCAGCCCAGGCGACAGAGCGAGACTCCGTCTCAAAAAAAAAAAAAAAAAAAAAAAAAAGAAAAAAGAAATTGATTTTATTGCCCTTAAAACTGTCTACTCAAACACCGTTCTGGCATGTGAATAAAGTGATTTTTGTTTGTACATATGCCTATTATGTACATCATTATTCAAGGGGGATTTTTTGAAATAATACATGTTCTGCATCCTCTGATCATAGGCATTCATGACCAAATAACATTACAGCTGTCATCACGGAAGCTTCCATAACTGTCGTCTTCTACTACATAATCCCCATTGAACTCAGTCCTGAAATGTTTCTTGTACTGACCACTGCTTTTTAAAAATTGGTACAGGCTGGGCGCGGTGGCTCCTGCCTGTAATCCCAGCACTCTGGGAGGCCGAGGTGGGTGGGTCACCTGAGGTCAGGAGTTTGAGACCAGCCTGGCCAACATGGTAAAACCCCATCTCTACTAAAAATACAAAAATTAGCCAGGCACGGTAGCGCGTGCCTGTAATCCCAGCTACTCCGGAGGCTGAGGTGGGAGAATTGCTTGAACCAGGGTGCCGAGATTGTGCCACTGCACTTCAGCCTGGGCAACAGAGAAAGACCCCGTCTCAAAAAAAAAAAAAAAAAATTGGTACAGAAAACAAAACTACACCAGCCTGGGCAATATAGGGAAACTCTGTCTTGACAAAAAATAAAAATAAAATAAAATAAGCCTGGCATGGTGGTGCATGCCTTTGGTCCCAGTTACTAGGGAGAAACAGGCCAGACATGGTGGCTCACACCTTTAATCCCAGCACTTTGGGAGGCTGAGGTGGGCAGATCACCTGAGGCCAGGAGTTTGAGACCAGCCTGGCCAACATGTAAAACCCCATCTCTACTAAAAATACAAAAAAACTAGTAGGGCGTGGTAGCACACTTCTGTAATCCCAGCTACTCAGGAGACTGAGGCAGGGGAATTGCTTGAACCTGGGAGGCAGAGATTGCAATGAGCTGAGATTGTGCCACTGCACACCAGCCTGGGTGACAGAGGGAGACTCCATCTCAAAAAATAAAACAAAAACACAAACTACTACCAACAACAAAACATCCTATTATTTTAGGCAAGTCCTGAGATTATACTATTCTTGATTTCAGTGGTTTAAATCTTGCTGTCCATGTGTGAAATATGACAGTACAGACTGGTACGACATCATCCACACACCTGCAGTATACATTTGTGAAATGTCTAAGGGGCTCTGAGAGACAGAAAAAGCAGATTCGTGTAATTCAGGGGCTTAGCCCATTGTCATGTGGATGTTCCATAAATGTCTGTGGAATGGTTGGGAGTATAAGTGATAAATATTTTAGAATGTGGAACTATTGCCAAATGGGGTGTATTGACACCCTCTGCTGGGAGGCATGTCGCTGTGGGCTGGGACCATCCCACTGTGAGGAGGAAAAGGGACTTAGACAAATGGAAGGATTAGATAGATAAGACAAGCAGCTGGGGAAGAACATGAGCCAAGGCAAAGAGGTGAGGATGTATATTGGGTTTGATTCACACCAGTTGGCTGGCGCTGAAGGTGGATGTAGAGGAGAGTTGAGGGGCAACAGTGAAGTGTGGTGAGAAGTCAAAGTGAGGTTCACTTAGGATCCCAGGCTAAGGGTATAAAGTGGGAAAGGGATCCAAGCTGTGTGGACTGCTGGGGGAGGTTGCCTGCGCATATATTCAGAGTCTCTTCACATTTTTTGTCTTTCGCCTGATGATAATACTAAATTTAAAATTTTTTTCATTTTGGTAAAAGATATATAACATAAAACTTGCCATCTTAACATTTTATTTAATTTTAATTTTAATTTTATTTTTTGAGACAGTGTCTCACTCTGTTGCCCAGGCTGGAGTGCAATGGTGTGATCAGGGCTCATTGCAGCCTTGACCTCTGGGGCTTAAGCAATCCTCCCACCTCAGCCACCAGAGGAACTGGGACTACAGGCACATGCCACCATGCCCAGCTAACTTTAGTATTTTTTGTTGAGCTAGGATTTCATCATGTTGCCCGGGCTGGTCTCGAACTGCTGAGCTCAAGCAATCCACCCACCTTGGCCTCCCAAAGTGCTGGGATTACAGGTGTGAGCCACCATGCCTGGCTTCATCTTAGCCACTTTTAAGTGCACAGTTCAATAGTGTTTTAAGTACATTCACATTGCAGTGCAACTGTCACCACAGTTTTGTAGAAGTTCCAATAGAGGAACATGATGGGAAAATTGGCCATCAATACCTATAACCATATAGGCACATGGAATTCCAGAAGGCCATCCAGATCATGACTATAACGTGAACAGCAGAACAGTCAACAAAGAGCATCTGGCACTAGGATGTCCATTTGACTTTTATTGGTTCTGTGCTTTTGTTGTATTTGATTTGTAAATATCTTTTAAAGTTGGATGAAAGCTCTTAGGTTAGGGAGTTGATATCCATCTTTGCATTTCTACATATTTTTAAGTGACACTATAATATAAATAATCTTAGGTAATAAGGGAAGAAGTCCATTAGAGCTTTCCTCCAGGAGTAAGTTATTGAGGATTAGCAACTCGGAGGTGGTAAATGGAGATGGCTCCAGTGACAATTCAGATTTGAAGGATGTGGACCTGGAATAGGAGGTGGCAGAATGTAATGAGAAGATGAAAGATTAAGGCACATCACTTCCTGGTTAGATGTGGGAGGAGCGAGAGGAGGGCGCAAAGATGGCTCCTGAGTTTGGATACCTGCGAGACAGGAATAGGAGAGTCCAGAGAAGTAACTAGTTAGGGCAAAAAGATAGGCAGGTTTTAGCTCTGTTAAATTTGAAGTACTGACTACAGATTCAACTGAAGATGCTCCGTGGACAGTGAAGCTGTAGGGCTCCATGTGTCTATCTCCTAAGCTATGGCTCCAGAGAAAAGTTGAGCAGTTTTTTCTCAATGCCTGTTGGTGTTTCTCTTGCAAAAGTGGGATCAAACTTGCCACTTTACCTCTTTAATTAGCTGTTGGTCCAGGGACTTTCTTCAAATGACTGCCTCAAACAGGACACATCACCCAAAAGCCAAAAGGGAAAAGTTTGATAAAGCTTGGACTACTTAAAATTTTTGTTTGTTTGTTTAGCAAAAAAACAAAACAAAACAAAAAATATATAAAGTCAAAACTCCAACAACAAACTAGGAAGGCCTATTTTTAAAACAACTTTTTTTTTGAGAAGGAGTCTCGCTCCGTCACCCAGGCTGGAGTGCAGTGGTGCGATCTCGGCTCACTGCAAGCTTCGCCTCCCAGGTTCATGCCATTCTTCTGCCTCAGCCTCCAGAGTAGCTGTGACTACAGGCGCCCGCCACCACGCCCGGCTAATTTTTGCATTTTTAGTAGAGATGGGGTTTCACCATGTTAGCCAGGATGGTCTCGATCTCCTGACCTCGTGATCTGCCTGCCTTAGCCTCCCAAAGTGCTGGGATTACAGGCATGAGCCACCACACCCGGCCTAAAACAACTTTTATACTGAAATAATTTCAGATTTATAAAAAGGCTGCAAGAGTAGTAGAAAGAACTTCACTCAGATTCCTCAGTTAACAGTTTACCACAATAGTCTTACCATTTTCGCTCTCCATACATACATATTCACATTTTTACAGCATTTGAGAGTAAGATGCAAACATTATGTATCATTTGCCCTTGGTACTTCAACACATATTTCTGAAAATCTGCAACATTCTCCCAGATAACTGCAGGTCAACCATCAATTAAGATTGATTCACTATTACCACTATCTATCTGCAGTCCCCATTCAAAATTTTCCAGTGTCCCAATTTAATATATATATTAAATATATATGTATAGAAGAACATGTATATAGATACATCCCTTCCATCATGTTCTGGTTGGTGAGAAGCAAGTCACTAAGTCCAGCCCATGTTCAAGGGCAAGGAGATTATACCTTTTGAAGGGGAAAGTTTCAAAAAAGTTGTGGACCAGAGTATCCATTTCTGTAGCTATCTATCCTTATACATGACCATGGGCTCACACCAGCACCTCCAATTCCAATCCAATAGGGTGTATTATAGCTTTACTCACTCCATATTTGTAAACCCCTTCTCTAATAACAAGAAATCTGGCTTCCATTATGCTCAATTTACTTACTTATTGCTCAATCCCCTGTTTATCATGATTCCAGCAAACACAGGGTCAAGTATCCTCAGCTCCAGCATTATTGACTCTGGTGATTGTTATGCTGGGAAATGTTTTTTTTTTTTAATTTATGACCAAAAGTTTATTTCCTTATAAAGAAATGATTAAGAACATTCAGATACATAAGAAATTATTTCACCCATAGGAATAAGAAAATATGAATCACCTAGTTTTAAATTGGCAAAGATAATATGTATAGGCAGAAAAATAAATGGCCAAAAAAAATTTAGATGCTCACCTGACTTAAAAAAAAAAACTAAAGTAAAACAATAAATATTTATTCATAAAAAAATTATATTGATTTTTAATCTATCATACTGTCAAATATTAGAAAGATGGCTGATACTGGTGAAGGGTTAAAGAAGAGGAGGAAAAGAATTCTCATTAGACAAAAGTAACTGACCCGTGAACAACATAGGCCCACTTATATGCAGATTTTTTTCAGTAAAAGTTACTGAGTGTGTGCCTGCCTCTCCTGCCTCCCCTTCTACCTCCTCCACCTCTTCTGCCTCTGCCAGCCCTGAG